TATAAGAAATTATGATACATGTTTATTCCCTGCTGTCTCTAAAATGGAAACGCATTTATTTCATTGCTATTTTTTAAACTTGCTACATTATAAATTATCACATTTGCAGGTTTCATACAAGTATACACGTACACAATTTCCCCATTTTCATTGCTTTAATTGCTTGTACAATGTATTTAGAGGTTAACAATCCTCCTTGTTCATATACATGTAGTTAGATGTGCATTAATCATGAATCAATATATATGCATGCAAGTTAATTACATGTATGTTTGAGTGTGCATTTCTGTTGTATTAGAATTAAGAAAACCAGGGAGCAAAAAGACATCCATAAATAAATGATATGACCGAGACTGACTGAACTGACTGCAGTTAACTGACTGACCGAGAAGAACCGACACTGCATATCTACCTAACATACCCCACAATGAATATCATACACACACGTAAAAATCCACAAAAACAAAAAGCACAGGCAGATAGTCGATCGGTTCAGTACAGAAAACAAATGCACGCACTATTTTACATAGCTTCTGTAATAGATTACATAGATTCATGCATATTATGTAGTATACGACAAGTGCGTACGAGCGAACTTTTCAGCTATGTACAAATGACCTATGACCCAATGACGTCATAGGGCTCCAGTGCGTAACTACGAACTGGCTTATTAACTGTTTAATCGGTAGAATGTCAGTCACATCACCCCTGATTGCATGCACATCGCCTTTCAGCATTTCTTCTCTTATACAAGCCTGAGTGTACGTCACTGGAGTCTACTGGAGAGAGTGCGTCCATATCCACACGTTTAACGTCTGACGAATTAGCTGTTTAACCCGCAGACCCGTCCATCACATCACTCCCGATTGCTTGTGCATGGCCTTTCTTCTGTGCGACTGCGTGCGCTTGTGTTTAGAGAGACCGTCCGAGGTTGAGCACCTGAAAGAGCAAATGTCACACGCGTACGGTTTCTCGCCTGTGTGCGAGAGAAAGTGCACCTTGAGGTCCCTGGTGCTCCTACACCTGTACTCGCATACATCGCACGCGCACGGTTTCTCTCCCGTGTGCGTGAGCGCGTGTCTCTTGAGATACGACAGCGCAGAACAACTGTACTCACATACATCGCACGCGTGCGGTTTCTCTCCCGTGTGCGTGCGCGCGTGCCTCTTCAGGCTGTCGCGGGAGCCCGTCCTATACTCACATACATTGCACGCGTAAGGTTTCGCGCCCGTGTGCGTGTGAATGTGCTTCCTGAGGACGCTGAAGGTGGTGTAGGTGGAGCCGCATATGTCGCACGTGTACGGTTTCTCTCCCGTGTGCGTTCGCATGTGCATTTTCAGGCTGCCGCGGGAGAAAGTCTTGTACTCGCACGCATCACACGCGTGAGGTTTCTCGCCCGTGTGCGTGAGAAGGTGCGTCTTGAGGCTGCTGGAGGTGGTGCAGGTGTAACCGCATATGTCGCACACGTACGGTTTCTCTCCCGTGTGCGTGCGCGCGTGGCTCCGGAGACTCGCCAGCTGAGAACTCCTGAACTCACATACATCGCACGCGTACGGTTTCTCTCCAGTGTGCGTTCGCATGTGCATTTTCAGGTTGCCGCGGGAGCAAGTGCTGGCTACTCGCAATCATCACACGCGTAGGTTTCTCGCCGTGTGTATTGAGAACGTGCGGTCTTGAGGCTGCCTGGAGGGGGCTGACAGGTTGTAACGCTGCATACTGTCGACACGCGTATTGGTCTTCTCTCCGTTGTGCGTTTGATGTGCTTTAT